AAAAAAAAAAAAAAAAAAAAAAGGAGTGAGGGAAAAAAATACGAACTACATAAGACGAGAGTCCAAGATTAATTTACCTAGCTAGGCATCTAAAACAAAAAGTCAAAAGACCTAATTAAAAATAAAAAATAAAAAAAGATAGAAAATAGGAAAATTTACAAAATGTAGGCCTTTGCCTACCAAACCTCCTTGATTAATTACATGCTACAACTGAAGAATTCTTTCCTCCCAATGGAGAAATTCAGTTAGGTACCCCCTAACAACCGATCGAAGTTGTTATTAGGGTTGGAACTCGAGCACATGTTTTTGCATAGATTGTGAGAAAGAGATAGCCGAGACTTGCTTTGCCTCGGTCCTCCATTGGCTCTCGATATCGGCTGCAATGTTCTTGGCGTCCATGGACGCCCCAACAAGGCCTCGTTTCGTGAACCCGACTGCGTACAACCCACACTGCCCTTTCCACCCGTTCGGAAAAGGTCTTCTCGGCAGACCATCTTTCTCCGAGAACATCTCACTTTCCTGAATAAGTTGCAACAGGGTGTATTTAGTTTGGATTTCAAGTGACATTTTGAGACTTTTTAAGATTTGAGATTTTTTAAGATTTTTAGATTTTAGAGGAGTTATGTGAAATCATGAATCTAGAGATGAGATTTGAAGTTAGATTTCGTATAGTCTGAACAAATCTTAGTCTTGCATAAGTTAAATACCACAGGAATTTGTACTTAACAAATTTAAATCGAATAGAGCAGGATTTCTAACGTCTTGAAAAAATCTTTAGAAATCTCAATTGAAATAGATGACATTCAAATGTCAAAAGTAAGTATTTCATTTTGACTAATTAAATAGATGGNAAAAAAAAAAAAAACACAAAAAAAAGGCCAGCACCTCAAAAAGTTACCTTTAGCCAATATGGTACATTGCTTTTGTAACCAGTTGCTAGGATTATAGCATCAAAGTTTTCTTTTCTTCCATCCACAAATTCAACTGATTGATGCCTTAATCTCTTGATTCCAGGGTACACCTATTAATGTCCATACAACAAACCATTATATAACTTTTTAAATCTTAATTATTCCAAGTCAATTAATAATATATGACTCAATATAGGAAACAAAGATTCAAATAAAAACTAAAAACAACCTTAGCGAGTACCTATTTTATCCATACAAGACCAGAATCTTTTAAACATGCCTCTTAAATACAAACATTTATTAGTCAAAACTATAAAATACAAACATTTATTAGTCAAAACTATAATCATATTTTTTTTAGTATAACAATGAAACTCTTTTCCATAAAAGGCAAAATGAAAGATGCAATATCTCTAGTAATCTTAATGAATTCTTAAAGAGAAGAACAAAGGCTGTTTGGACAAAACAAGTGATTTTTGTCACACCACAAAATGGGGAAATTTGCTGTTTATTAGCAAAGCAAATTCAATGATTATTAAGAGGAGATTTGTAATAAAGTTGATTGATGGAAGTGATATTATTATGTGTAGGGAGGAGGAGTGGGAGTGGGAGATTGTTGTACCTTGATGTCTCCACTTTTGATCTTGTCAAGGGTTCCAACGTCCAATACCGGGGTCTTACCGGAAAGATTCTTTAGCTCGAGAGGGCCCAGCCGGGGCCTCTCCAGACCGAATCGGCCCGTTTCCCCCAGCAACAGCCGGGAAGCCACCAACAGCAACCGGTCCACAACACGAATGGGGAGCCACTTGAGCAGCCACATGGACAGCCCGAAAGTCGACTTTCCCAGCATCTCTCGTGGTAGAATGTGTACCTAAAGTTAACCAAAAAAAAATATTAAGAGAAAAAAAAAAGCAATAGAATCAAACAAGAAAATAAAGGAGGGGATCATGCAAAAGGGAAAAATACCTAAAAGCTGTATATACTTTGAATAATAAAAAAAAAAGAAAATTGTAATAATAACTAGGGTACAATGATTTCTTTTTTCAACTCCCCCACCTCTTTACAAGAGATAAAATAGAATAATGCAAAAAAAATATATATATATTAATTAATTAACTGGATCAGAATATTGTAAATAATATGAGTATAATAAAGAAATAATAATAATAATAATAGTGAAATGCTGCGCATGCTTGAGTTGAGAATCCCCAGAAAGCTGCAAACATCAAGGATATATGTACTTTTTTTTTTAGCTGCAGCTGCTGCAGTTGGGTTGATACACTATAATAGTATAATAAACTAATAAAATTAAAAAATAAAAAATAAAAAATCATTGGAACTTGAATTGGTGGGCTGAAAAGTATTCCATTAAATTCCATATTTTTTAACTTG